ACTGTCTGGCTCTTGGTGTTAGATGTAGGTGTATTCAGGAGACTGTCTGACTCATGGTGTTAGATGTAGGTGTATTCAGAAGACTGTCTGGCTCTTGGTGTTAGATGTAGGTGTATTGAAGAGACTGGCTGGCTCTTGGTGTTAGATGTAGGTGTATTCAGGAGACTGTCTGGCTCTTGATGTTAGATGTAGGTGTATTCAGGAGACTGTCTGACTCATGGTGTTAGATGTAGGTGTATTCAGAAGACTGTCTGGCTCTTGGTGTTAGATGTAGGTGTATTGAAGAGACTGGCTGGCTCTTGGTGTTAGATGTAGGTGTATTCAGGAGACTGGCTGGCTCTTGGTGTTAGATGTAGGTGTATTCAGGAGACTGTCTGGCTCATGGTGTTAGATGTAGGTGTATTCAGGAGACTGTCTGGCTCTTAGTGTTAGATGTAGGTGTATTCAGGAGACTGTCTGGCTCTTGGTGTTAGATGTAGGTGTATTCAGGAGACTGTCTGGCTCTTAGTGTTAGATGTAGGTGTATTCAAGAGACTGGCTGGCTCATGGTGTTAGATGTAGGTGTATTCAGGAGACTGTCTGGCTCTTAGTGTTAGGTGTAGGTGTATTCAGGAGACTGTCTGGCTCTTAGTGTTAGATGTAGGTGTATTCAGGAGACTGTCTGGCGCTTGGTGTTAAATGTAGGTGTATTCAGGAGACTGTCTGGCTCTTGGTGTTAGATGTAGGTGTATTCAGGAGACTGTCTGGCTCTTGGTGTTAGATGTAGGTGTATTCAGGAGACTGGCTGGCTCTTGGTGTTAGATGTAGGTGTATTCAGGAGACTGTCTGGCTCTTGGTGTTAGATGTAGGTGTATTCAAGAGACTGTCTGGCTCTTGGTGTTAGATGTAGGTGTATTCAGGAGACTGGCTGGCTCATGGTGTTAGATGTAGGTGTATTCAAGAGACTGTCTGGCTCATGGTGTTAGATGTAGGTGTATTCAAGAGACTGTCTGGCTCTTGGTGTTAGATGTAGGTGTATTCAGGAGACTGGCTGGCTCATGGTGTTAGATGTAGGTGTATTCAGAAGACTGTCTGGCTCTTAGTGTTAGATGTAGGTGTATTGAAGAGACTGGCTGGCTCTTGGTGTTAGATGTAGGTGTATTCAGGAGACTGTCTGGCTCTTAGTGTTAGATGTAGGTGTATTCAGGAGACTGGCTGGCTCATGGTGTTAAATGTAGGTGTATTCAGGAGACTGTCTGGCTCATGGTGTTGGATGTAGGTGTATTCAAGAGACTGGCTGGCTCTTGATGTTAGATGTAGGTGTATTCAGGAGACTGTCTGGCTCATGGTGTTAGATGTAGGTGTATTCAGGAGACTGTCTGGCTCTTGGTGTTAGATGTAGGTGTATTCAGGAGACTGTCTGGCTCTTGGTGTTAGATGTAGGTGTATTCAGGAGACTGTCTGGCTCTTGGTGTTAGATGTAGGTGTATTCAGGAGACTGTCTGGCTCTTGGTGTTAGATGTAGGTGTATTCGGGAGACTGGCTGGCTCTTGGTGTTAGATGTAGGTGTATTCAGGAGACTGTCTGACTCATGGTGTTAGATGTAGGTGTATTCAAGAGACTGTCTGGCTCTTGGTGTTAGATGTAGGTGTATTCAGGAGACTGTCTGGCTCTTGGTGTTAGATGTAGGTGTATTCAGGAGGCTGTCTGGCTCTTGGTGTTAGATGTAGGAGTATTCAGGAGACTGTCTGACTCATGGTGTTAGATGTAGGTGTATTCAAGAGACTGGCTGGCTCATGGTGTTAGATGTAGGTGTATTCAAGAGACTGTCTGGCTCTTAGTGTTAGATGTAGGTGTATTGAAGAGACTGGCTGGCTCTTGGTGTTAGATGTAGGTGTATTCAAGAGACTGTCTGGCTCTTAGTGTTAGATGTAGGTGTATTGAAGAGACTGGCTGGCTCTTGGTGTTAGATGTAGGTGTATTCAGGAGACTGTCTGGCTCTTGGTGTTAGATGTAGGTGTATTCAAGAGACTGTCTGGCTCTTAGTGTTAGATGTAGGTGTATTGAAGAGACTGGCTGGCTCTTGGTGTTAGATGTAGGTGTATTCAGGAGACTGTCTGACTCATGGTGTTAGATGTAGGTGTATTCAAGAGACTGTCTGGCTCATGGTGTTAGATGTAGGTGTATTCAGGAGACTGTCTGACTCATGGTGTTAGATGTAGGTGTATTCAGGAGACTGGCTGGCTCATGGTGTTAGATGTAGGTGTATTCAGGAGACTGTCTGGCTCTTGGTGTTAGATGTAGGTGTATTCAGGAGACTGTCTGGCTCTTAGTGTCAGATGTAGGTGTATTCAGGAGACTGTCTGGCTCTTGGTGTTAGATGTAGGTGTATTCAGGAGGCTGTCTGGCTCTTGGTGTTAGATGTAGGAGTATTCAGGAGACTGGCTGGCTCATGGTGTTAGATGTAGGGTTCAGGGAAGTGAATGCTTTAGACAGTCTAGCTCGTTGTGTTGATGTATTGCATGAGTGTTTTGGAGCATGGAGCTGCTTTCAGGACTAAACTTATACATACATTTTCAGGATAGATTCTCACATACACAGCAGTGTTTGCCCCTTGAGTAGATAGATTCTCACATGTACAGCAGTGTTATCCCCTGTAGGGGATAGATTCTCACATGTACAGCAGTGTTATCCCCTATAGGGATTAGATTCTCACATGTACAGCAGTTTTTGCCCCTATAGGGGATAGATTCCCATATACACATCAGTGTGCCCCTGTAGAGTATAGATTCTCACATGTACAGCAGTGTTATCTCTTGTAGGGGATAGATTCTCACATGCACAGCAGTGTTTGCCCCTATAGGGGATAGATTCTCACATGTACAGCAGTGTTAGCCCTGTAGGGGATAGAATCCCACATGCACAGCAGTTATTGCCCCTATAGGGGATAGATTCCCACATCCACAGCAGTGTTTGCTCCTATAAAGGATTGATTCTCACATGCACAGCAGTGGTTGCCCCTATGGGGGATAGATTCTCACATGCACAGCATTATTTGCTCCTATAAGGGATAGATTCTCACATGCACAGCAGTGTTAGTCCCTGTAAGGGATAAATTTTCACATGCGCAGCAGTGTTTGCTCCTATAAGGGATAGATTCTCACATGCACAGCAGTGTTAGGCCTTATAAGGGATAGATTCTTACATGCACAGGACTGTTTGGCCCTATAGGGGGTACATTCTCATATGCACAGCAGTGTTATCTCTTGTAGGGGATAGATTCTCACATGCAGAGCAGTGTTAGGCCCTATAAGGGATAGATTCTCACACGCACAGCAGTGTTTGCTCCTATAAAGGATTGATTCTCACATGCACAGCAGTGGTTGCCCCTATGGGGGATAGATTCTCACATGCACAGCATTATTTGCTCCTATAAGGGATAGATTCTCACATGCACAGCAGTGTTAGTCCCTGTAAGGGATAAATTTTCACATGCGCAGCAGTGTTTGCTCCTATAAGGGATAGATTCTCACATGCACAGCAGTGTTAGGCCTTATAAGGGATAGATTCTTACATGCACAGGACTGTTTGGCCCTATAGGGGGTACATTCTCATATGCACAGCAGTGTAAGGCCCTATAAGGGATAGATTCTCACATGCACAGCAGTGTAAGGCCCTATGGGGGATACCTTCTCACATGCACAGCAGTGTTAGGCCTCTATAGGGGATACATTCTCACATGCACAGCAGAGTTTCCTCCTAAAGGGGATAGATTCTCACATGCACAGCAGTGCTAGGCCCTATAGGGGATAGATTCTCACAAGCACAGCAGTGTTTGCTCCTATAAGGGATAGATTCTCACATGCAGAGCAGTGTTAGGCCTTATAGGGGATAGATTCTCACATGCACAGGACTGTTTGGCCCTATAGGGGATAGATTCTCACATGCACAGCAGTGTAAGGCCCTATAAGGGATAGATTCTCACATGCACAGCAGTGTAAGGCCCTATAGGGGATACATTCTCACATGCACAGCAGTGTTAGGCCCTATAAGGGATAGATTCTCACATGCACAGCAGAGTTTCCTTCTAAAGGGGATAGATTCTAACATGCACAGCAGTGCTAGGCCCTATAGGGGATAGATTCTCACATGCACAGCAGTGTTTGCTCCTATAAGGGATAGATTCTCACATGCACAGCAGTGTTTGTCCCTATGGGGGATAGATTCTCACATGCACAGCAGTGTTTGCTCCTATAGGGGATACATTCTCACATGCACAACAGTGTTAGTCCCTATAAGGGATAGATTCTCACATGCACAGCAGTGCTAGGCCCTATAGGGGATAGATTCTCACATGCACAGCAGTGTTTGCTCCTATAAGGGATAGATTCTCACATGCAGAGCAGTGTTTGCTCCTATAGGGGATAGATTCTCACATGCACAGCAGTGTTTGCTCTTATAAGGGATAGATTCTCACATGCACAGCAGTGTTTGCTCCTATAGGGGATAGATTCTCACATGCACAGCAGTGTTTGCTCCTATGAGGGATAGATTCTCACATGCACAGCAGTGTTGGCTCCTATAGGGATAGATTCTCACATGCACAGCAGTGTTGGCTCCTATTGGGGATAGATTCTCACATGCACAGCAGTGTTAGGCCCTATAAGGGATAGATTCTCACATGCACAGCAGTGTTTGCTCCTACAAGGGATAGATTCACATTTGATGTGTAGATGTTATAATGGTTTGCTAGTGACTTGAGGTGTTTGCCATCTTAAGCTGAGACCACAAAAATTTTGCTTCTATCCAGACAACTGCAAAAGCAGCTGTTTTGCCCCAGCACTCTGACGCGGTCTTCTAATGGCTGTTGAAACCTCTATACGCATGCCAAATTGTATTTTAATGGCCTTTGTTTGAAACTGTGTGTGTTGAATCCATCAGATTTTCTATGTGTGCAATTGCAGTCCTCATGTTTCTTGAATGACTGCATGTATAAAGATACGATTGTTGCTTTTTTTCAGGCTTGTGGTGTTCCATTCTACTGGAAGTGCCCGCTGTTCCGAGGATCAGGGGGAGATAAGCAGGGATATATTACCTACCAGATGTTTGCCTCTATGTGGAAGAAGTGAGAATGTTATTATTATAGTTTCTCTGCTTTCTTTTTGTCCTCCTTTTTAAGTGTTTTGGCTGAGAGATTATTTTGGGTACATTCATGTTTTGCAATCTTTAGCTGCTGACCTCTGTTCTGAAATGGCTTTTTTGATATGTGAAATGAAACAACATTATCAACAGTATCAACCTCTGTAGATTGTTGATAATGGTTAACCTTACAACTGAAATGTTGTTTTAATCTTGGAATTAGTAATGTCTATTAGCTGGAAGACAATACAAACATATGCTTCATTTATTGTCCTGCCAGGAAGTGGAAGGGGGATACAGGAATGGGTGCTCTTCATCTGTCCGTCTGTCACATTTCATTTCCGGAGCAGAACTCAAAAACCATGAGAAATATCTTTACCAATCTTGGCACATAGATAGGTCTAGTGGTGAACTGGTGCCTTTTGATAGTTTTGGATTTAATTTTTTTTTATTTTTCAACTTTCCATAGCAACAACTTTGACTTAGACTGAAAATTGTGGTAGTGCTGGTTTCCGGAGCTTACTGGTGGGGGATATGAGTATTTCATGCTTGTTTCCTTTTTGGGCCTTGTTTGGCTATATTTGTTGCTACTCTTTGGAAGACATCCTCAAGAAAAATTTGTAGTGTATGTAATGACAATTTATGTAAATTAAATCTTAGGATGCTGAAAGATGACATGATAATGACAATATGAACAATGAAAATACTGTGACATTGTCAGTGGTCAGTTTGGTAATGCTTAGTTTAAAGTTACTGCCATCATAGTCAGAAACAGATCGATGTGATGGCACTCCATGAGCATCTGTTTGGAGCATCTGTTTCCTTGTGACGTCAGCAGTAATCTAAAAGAGATTTGTAATTGGCTCAACATGCTGCAGCCTACCACGCTACAGCAGCATTCGGAGCTGAGCGGCTTGCAGGGAAGAGAAGCTTGTCCGGCTACATGGTGCTGAGTTTACACAGAACATACATGTGCATGTCGGGACAGATTCCACCTTGGCAGCAGGACGTTCTCACAAATTATGTAATCTACAATTGACCTAGCTTTGAAGACTCTGCCAAAAACTTTGCTTACTGTAGGTTACTTGAATTAAAAATTGTTGGGAAAAACATCCACATGTAATGGGTGGACCAAAGAATTGTGAATTAAAGTAGATATGAAATGAATGAGTTAGAGTTGGCCTATATAGAAATTGTTAAATCTTTGGTATTATCAGTAGCACATAATCAACACATATAATGCAAGGAAGTTGTTTTATCACATTAGTACCATAGGATGAGGAGACACTAAGACTGCATATCAAATGTCTGAATATAAGTCTTGTGATATAGGTGCAGCACAGAGAGTGCCTGGTAAAGATTCTGACAACGGCTGATGAAAAATAGCAAAACAAAAAAGAAATAAAAACCTTTTATTACGCAGATGAGAAAAAGGACTTGTATAAAAAGTGCATCTGAAAACTGAAATTCAACTAATTAGTGACATTTGTAAATACATATTTCAACATGATTTTTTAAATGTTTTGCACATGTGGAAAGTTATCTCCCCCAACTACTGCATGCGAAAGCTTGTGCAATTTGTTAAAACAACAAAGCTGAAATAGTTTGGGCATGAAGGAGTTTTGGTAAGATACCATGTGGAGCATTGCAGCAGAGTTGTCCTGAAGAATCGAGTGTCAAGTTTCCTTCAGCAGCTGCCAGCGGAAGGGTCTCAGGCACAAAAATTTCTAAAAAATATGACTTCGTACACAAGTCCTGGTCCTGAAGATCCTAGCCACCCCCAAAAATATGACTCCAATTTCTGAGTTGTGGATGGATGATGAAATGTTTTTGTTTCCTAAATTTGAACATTCTTATCCATCATTTGAATTTGATAACCTTGAGTAATGCTGAATGAGTTTGTGACTCGGTGTTCTAGTAGCTGAATTGATCTAGTGCTTTGGACGCTATCATCAACTCTTCGCCTTCAGATATGCACGCACGCACACACACATGTTTAAATACATAACACACAGAGTAAAGCTGTCATGTTTGACTGTTGCAGGTTGATGGAGAGTTACCATGATGAGGCCTCACGGTTTGTCAAACTACTGGCAAAACCCAGCTGTAACTACCTTGATGAAGACGACCTTGTGCCCCTTGTACAGGTAGGGGAATAAATGTTGTTTCTACTTTAATGAAGATGACCTTGTGCCTCTTGTACAGGTAGGGGGAATAAATGTTGTTTCCACTTTAATGAAGACGACCTTGTGCCTCTTGTACAGGTAGGGGAATAAATGTTGTTTCTACTTTAATGAAGACGACCTTGAGCCTCTTGTACAGGTAGGGGGAATAAATGTTGTTTCTACTTTAATGAAGACGACCTTGTGCCTCTTGTACAAGTAGGGGGAATAAATGTTGTTTCTACTTTAATGAAGACGACCTTGTGATTTCTGTACTGCAGGGGGGGGAATAACAGTTTTTATTACCAAGATGAAGATGACCGTGAGCCCCTTCTGACTGGTGGGAAAAATAAGTGAAATGAATTATTCTAATGTCTAATTCTCGCCTTAAGTGCATTAAAAAACAAAAACAATGTTGTGATGGTCGTGCTTTAGAACTAATGAACATTTCTTCAAAGGCTTGCATGTTTTGATGTGTGTTGTATTTTCTGAAATGTTATTATTGTTTTGACAATTATTCATACTTGAGACATTTACTTTTATTCATGTTTTAATTCATTTCAGGATGTTGTAGAATCTCACCCAGGTCTTAGTTTCCTCCAAGAAGCTCCAGAATTCCATTCTAGATATATAAATACGGTAAGAGACTCAGCAGTGACTCATACCTGTCTCTCTCTCACACACAGACACACAGACAGACAGACACACAGACACACACAGACAGATGCACGCACGCACACACACACACACACGCCAATTCAGTCCAGTGACTATGCCACTGATGGTAACAAGTTATGATGCATATTCAGTGTTGGCTGAAGAGCGCGTTTTTGCGTCTTGGACGCACAAAAATAAGTTTGAATGCACCTGCGTAACATGTGTGGGTCTCGCGGACGCAGTGACTGGGGCTATATTAATTTCATATCGAATTGTCAATTCGATATGAAATTAATATAGCCCTGTTATCGTAAATCAAAGACATACGTCTTTGCGTAAAGGTATTTGTTGCCAAACAAGACAGCGAAGCATGTTGATTAACACTTCCGTTTGCTAAACCAAACCAGTTCCATTATTCTCTCCCTTTTTATGACAAATACCCAAACCGGTTTCTTGACCTATATCTATTGTCGGTTTTGCATGTATTAATTTTCGGTATGATCCGTAGCTTTGCTTCAGCCAATCAGGTGCCACATATTAAGCAAGTCGGATATAGTCGTAATTAATTTAGCTTGCTGATTGGTCGAAAATATCTTGACCTTGTGTCAAACTAAAAATAGCCAGGCACATCAAGGGTATACTTCAGAACGTGGTAACAGTGACCCGCGAAATCGAGCGACCGTGTAGGATGATACGCTATGTTATCGCGGTGGTTAATTTATAATGGATCGTAGTGGGGCACGCTTACAAACTTATTAAATATGTGATTCACAAAATGTTTGATGTTCATTGGATTGATTGATGCTGATTTTCTTTACCGAGTTCGGTAAACAAAGTATGCTACCTGTCATTGGTGAATCTTACCGCAGTAAGTAAGGCTGTGTGGATTATATGGTATATCACTTCCTGTTTTGAATTTTGCATACGACCGAGGTTTGGTCAAGGGACTTCGTTTGAACAAATGGGTTCTTTTTCTAATCAATTTTGAATGGAGGAAGGGGTAATTCCACTTCAAAAACATCCTAGGAACTGTCATAAAAAAAGTTAACGTGTGTACAAGTAGCCGTGACATACCGCAACGAGTCCTGTATTCGATCATGCGATGAAATATATCGTGCTTAGATTTGCATAAGTAAACAGTCGACAGGTTGTGTGGATTATGAGATTTATCAATACCGCGATACTGTATATGATAAAGAATGGATGCGAACACTTGAATGTACAATGATGTAAGCATTGTTTTTATTTAGCGGACTCTGAATATTTAGTTATTCTACAACAGACTTATCAAGCTGATAATAATTCAATATCTTGTGAGTCATATTAAGAATTGCAAAACACATTTTGCCAGGACAGTTATTGGTGTAACTGACATGTTTAAACATTTATAGCACCTGAAACATGTTGACTTTATTTATCAAGGAAATGCTGGATCCTGAACATACTCTTACTAAAAAAACGTTCGATATGCCAATTATATTTTATGACTCATTGATCATTGTCACAGTTACAACATGAACTCAATACTCAGTACAGTAGCATCAGAACAGCCATTGAACTTAACTGAATCCATAACTTCAAATCATTTGTAGATCTCGGTAAAAACATTCACAAATGTCTGTCACAATGACCCCTTTCCAATGGCTGACCCGTGTACTGCCTTTTCATATACGAAGTTAGATATTAACATGGATAATTTTGTGTTATAATATTCATGAATATCAATTGTCCCTTTTAAGAAATTGTTTGTCCCTTCATGTAAACCTCTTGGTTCTGAGAGCAGGATGTGCCCTGATGTGAACCTTTCTCTCACTTTGCCTGTTTGTTGATATTTTGCAGTTGCGAAAAGATTTCTTATTTTTCACAACCACTGTATTCTGTTGTTAATGTTATATTATGATGCTATAAATTGGACCCCTCCATTTTTGTTTGGGACCCCTAATTTTATGATGAAGGGGTCCAAGTGACCCCAAGAAAATTTAAGCCAGAGCAGACACTGATATTTTCTTTCAATATTAGTATGACATTAGTGGTTGCTTCTAATCTTGTTGACAATGAATATTGATGAAGATAATATTGTGTTGCAGGTGATAGCAAGAATATTCTTCAGTATCAACCGGTTGTGGACAGGGCGGTTAACGGTGCCGGAGATACGACAAAGTAATCTACTTAGAGTGAGTAATTGTGTATCCTTCCGCATAGTAACTCACATCCGCTCAGGAGCATTTCTGGAATTCATCCCCATTTTGTATCATGGTAACGAGAGTAAAGTTTTATTTTCAACAAAAGAATCCTATGATAAGTACTGGTGGTGTATTGTCGTATTAATGCATCATTTAATTGGAATACATTTTGTCCAATACAATAAATATTTCTTTATCATCTTGCTGAAGCTTTATTTTTAAACATATTTTTTCTACAGTATACAAGGGATGCTGTAAGGAGCATGTACCGCATTAAAGTGTTGAATTCTTGCGAATACTCTACCTCTATTACATCATTGCCGTAAATATTGTATTTTGGCTACAGTCACACCATACTAAACTAAACAGATTTTTTAACTGGGGTCCTCTTCACTGTCAACTATACAATTAGTTGTCCCCGCCATAGCACTTTAGCAGCCTACAGCTCTTCTGTGCAGTGAAGGCGGGAAAACCTCTCTTATTTCCTGTGTGTGCTAGAGTCGACCCGTCTACGTATTTCTCTAGCACTTAGTCACACTATAGCTGTAGTCATACTATTCTAATATGTACAGTATAAGTTTTCTTATTCCCACTAATGTATTAGTAGTTTTATTGGCTTTGATTCGTAATTATTAGTTGCATAAGGGTCACAAATGTTGCCGTTTTATGATCTCGGGCTACCCTCGCAGAGTGCAGAGAATCCACCTGTGTAGAGGATGATCGCTATCCCTTCTGTCTCCCTCTCACCAAGAAAGCCTCCTCCAAGCTAAGTGACACTTTCACTAAGGCTAAGAGGAAGGATGCGGTCATGAGAAAGGATGATATTATCTCCCAGACTGATAAACAACCTACCCCTCTGCCTGATCAACCGTCCGACACTCAACAGTCATCTGTGCTCCCGGCACATCCAGCGTTTCCTGTCGCCCTGCTGGAGCAATTATTTGACGTCAGCAAGGGCTTTTTATTCTCCAGTATTCCTAGTACTGACAAAGAATACCACAGAAATGAGAATGATCATTGATCTGAAATTCCTGGACAAGGATTTTCTCATACCTCCTCCAAAATTCCAGATGGAATCTGTCTGGAAGCTAAGATCTACACTGCATCTTTTGGCCTTCAGCATAGATCTTCTCCACATGCCAATTCATCCCTTATCTCAGAAATACCTCCTGTTTGGAGTGACTGGGCATCGCTACGAGTTCCAGGTCCTTACTTTCAGAATCTCGATTGATCCATGGCGTTCACCCGAATAATGGCACCAGTGATCAGCTATGCCCATCCGCATTTAATCCGCCTGCATGGATACCTGGACAATTTTCTTAGTCTTATATATCTTAAAACCAGACATTTCTGATCCGGGATTTCTCATTCATCCTTCCAAATCGGAGCTCACGCCCATCTAGGATCTGAATTACATCGGGGCCTGTTTTCTTCTTCAAAGGGGCCTACTCTGCCCTCCAGAAGATCGCTTTACATCCCTCATGATCGACAATGCTCTGACGTTACCGACTCTTACGATCAGCCGATGGATGTCCCTCTTCGGAAGGTTAACATCTCTCCATGACCTGACCTACAGAGGAAGGCTACAACAATGTGCTATGTAACAACTATGTTACATTACCAATCACCTTCCAAGGCCACCTCCTGTGCTGTACGCATCGACAGCATGTCATGACGGTCATCCCTCTCTCCTTTACCCCGCCGAAACATTATCTGTTTACGGACGCCTCAGACTCGGGCTGGGGAGCCCATCTGGCAGATCTCCAGATACAGGGCACATAGAAGGAGACAAAAAGGGATCTCACAATATTTCCACCTGGGTCACATCGATATGGGACACACCGCACCCGGATCTGTTTGTGACTTGTGTGAATCATCAGCTCTCAGTCTATGCCAGTCCGGTACCAGATCCAAGAGCTCTGCAGATCGATGCTCTGTCTGTGGACTTGACCAACCTGTTCGCATATGTGTTTCCTCCATGGTCTCTTCTACAAAAGATAGAAACTGACAGCCTGTACATCATTCTAATCGCCCTGACCTGGCCCAGAAGACCTTGGTTTTCCAGACTCATGGCCCTACTAATGGAAGATCCTCTCCCAATACCATTCCGCATAGATTTTCTGCGTCAACCCAGATAGGACCTTGTCTACAAGAACCTTCCCAACCTTAATCTCACCGCCTCTGTATCTCCTTCTTCAGCGGTCGCTTAACCATGGGGATCATCTTCCTGTCTCCTTTATGACAACAAATTGGATAAGTTTGTCCAGTGGCGACGATGATCTGGATTAGGAAATGTTGCTGTTACTATACCTATGGTTGCCGATTTCCTCCTTCATCGTAAAAAGCTTCGTCATTGGACAATTGAGGAATATCGATCTGCTCTTCATTTCGATCGGCAATCTTCCTATCTTAAACATGCATTCATTCCTTCTCGAAATCTAACCAGTTAGTGGTTTTATCAGCTCGACTAACAGAGCTGTTTGAACCTCTCACTTCCTCTACATTACTCCAAAAATCAAAGAAAGCAGCCTTCCTATTACACATGGCTACTGCTGCTAGCAATATAACAGTAGTTCTAAAGAAGGTATCACATATTGACTGATTATTCCTGTACACGATTTTCAAGTCCTCTTGAAATGGTTCAAGACATAACATCTTTTGGGGATTTGAAACAGTACTGTCAACTACATATACCGTATATCGCTGTGTATAAGGTGAGTTTTTCGTACCTAGAATGAGGGGGTTAGGAAGGGGGGTCGTCTTATACACAGAGTCAACAATAAAACTTCGCATTTCCTTCTAAATAACTGTTCCAATAACTATTTCCATACATAAACATGATTTGTATCTCTTTTCCTTGAATAAAGTTTCATAATTTCTGCAAATAAAGTTGAAATGACCCTCGCCTCGATGCAGATTGTCAAACCAGCTGACACAGTAAAACAATCAACATCCGTGAGTAGAGAGCCGGAAGTACCGGTAAGCATTTGCATATCGCACATGTGACCTAACATGTGATAACTGGTGAAGCTGAAATCAATTCCCGCTGTTTTTTACAGTTGTATTAACAACTGTTGGAGACGGTGTGTATAAGTGATTGTGGAATAAACACGCTGAATGCGAAGCAAACATAAGCCTAGTAAGTTACGACATAGTTAATTGGCGATTAAATTACTCACCATTGTCTCTTATATGTTATTACTTCATAAATGAATTTTATTTTACGGGCACCAATTTGGTGTCGTACCGTGTAAACACAAAAATGGCAACATGTGCTGGAGTTACACATGCGTCCAATCATCGTAGAAAAAACAACGCAAGATAAACATACTTTATTGCAATTATAAGGTTTGTGTGCGCACTTGTGATGTGCTTCATTCTAGGTCGCCTTATACACAGATTATAGGATTTTGGGTGGATTTTGAAGGCGTGTACAGGGGGGTCGTCTTATACGTGGGCTCACCTTATACACAGCGATATACGGTATACAGGGAGAGTACTGGAGGCAGGAGCCACCTTCTTTCCGTAGATTCTGGCAAAGATGTAATAGAGGTAGAGTATTTGCAAGAATTATTGAACAATTATCAGAAGTACTCCCTCCCGCCTACCCAAATCATCTGTCTGCAGCCAAAATACAGGATTTATGGCAATTTCTGGTGTCCCCTGCCGTGCTATTGCTGGAATATTGCTAAAAGCGGCGTTAAACCATGCTCACTCACTCTTTCACATACACATACATTATTTTGCTTAGGTCAGACTTGAACTGAAAGTCAAGGTTATGTCTGTTGTAATTATGATACACTGTATATTTTTAGTTCTCTTGACCTCCAGTTAACCGCATAAATCTAGTGATACAGAATTTTCTGCATCTATGATGCTTGTGATTGTATGTCCTAGCAATTGTGTCTCTACTTCTTCTGCCAAAGAAGAAACTATATAAAAAGATATGACAGAGTGTGTTCAATTTTGTTTCAGACTTTAGCGTTACTTGAAGACGAGGAGGACATCAACCAGATAACGGAGTACTTCTCCTATGAACATTTCTATGTGATCTACTGTAAGTTCTGGGAGCTGGACAAGGACCATGACTTGTTCATAGACCGGGGAGATCTGGCCAGACACAATGAACATGGTATGTCCCTCTGCCTTTGCTCCTCCTACTCCTCAGCTGTGACTTGGTGGATTTCATTGCTGCTAATATCAGTCATTATGTCTCCCCCAGAATGGAGGGAGACATATTGTTTTTGGCACGGTTCCCGTCGGCATCGGCGTCGGCGTCGGCGTTCCCACCGTTTCCGGACCATAACTCAGAAACCGTTTAATATTTTTTCGCCAAACTTTCTATACACATTAACCCAGCACTGAAGTGGTGCCTTTTGCTATTTAGAGATTTTTGACATTTTTATTTTTTCTCGTTTCCATGGAGATAAGTTGAACATAGGCTCTGAATGAGGGTAAGCTTTGTTTCCTGACCATAACTCGGAAACCGTTTAATATTTTTTCGCGAAACTTTGTATACACATTAACCCAGCACTGAAGTGGTGCCTTTTGCTATTTAGAGATTTTTGACATTTTTATTTTTTCTCGGTTCCATGGAGATAAGTTGAACATAGACTCTGAATGGGGGTAAGCTTTGTTTCCGGACCATAACTCAAAAACTGTTCAATATTATTTCATGAAGTTGTAACATATTAACCAAGTCCTGAAGTGGTGCCCATTAGTTGTTTGAAATTTCTAGGAGTTCTATTTTTGTCTCTGTTATTTAGTAATGGAGGGTGGGAATGAAGAGATGGGGTTTAACGTGAAGTAAACGAATGAATGGGGGTTAGGGGAGTGGGGGGAGACATATGTTTTTACGAGTAAAAACACTTTCTAGTTGGTTATTCTGGTCAGTCAGTCAGTCAGAAATCATTTCATTTCCAGAGCGTAACTCAAAAACTGTTCAATATTTTTCAACAAAATGTGACTGATATATCAAATAGATCCTGACGTGGTGCCTTTTGCTTTTTACGGATTTTTGGCATTTTTGTTTTTCTTGATTTCCATGGAAACAATTTGGACTTGGTCACCAAAGATATCTTGTAATTTATGTTGTATTGCACATTGTCTATTTTCTATTCTGGTACATCTGAAACTGTAAACTATAAAGATATGTCTGAGGTGTAACTCTGAACCTACCTTCCTTTCACAGCGTTGTCATCACGGGTGATAGAAAGGATATTCTCAGGGGCAGTGACGCGGTGAGTAGTCAGTACTACGGACAAGGAGAAAACTCCTGAAACAAAACTTCAAGGCCGGTCATCACATTCTGATTCAAGACATAATATTTTCACACGTTCTCTAGCTTGTAACTTCTAAAAGTGGCTAATATCAATCTTTTCTTCAGTGTTGCTATTCAACAGTAGTACCAGAATTGTTGCATTTGAAGACCCATTGATGTGACATGAGATGTAGGTAGAGTGAGTTGGTGATGATGGACAACCATGTATGTTGCAGGGGTGAGAACTTCAAGGTTGGTCGAATGAGTTACCCAGAGTTTGTGTGGTTCTTGATAGCGGAGGAAGACAAGAGAAACCCAACCAGGTACAGCCTTCACTCTCTGCTTCTTATAGGGTCATACACCCTCCTTTTTCCAGTGAAAAAGAGGCCAGTCACATGACTGTGAAACAGGGGTGTTCATAAGACATTTTGATGTTCTTACGTTTTTCATGAGATTGTTTTGGTGAAATAACGTAAACACTGACGGACTACTTACACATTTCTTGGGAAACCTCTGGGAATTACCTATCACAAATAAATATAGAAGTGTTGTCTGAACAAAGCCAAGACATGTTCATGTCACCTCTCATACAGCAGGTTGATGTAGAGCTGTCAGTGTAAACATGAAGTCAAATAAAAATTGTGTGTACATCCTTCGAGGTATAAAATTGAGGTATAAAAACTTGTAAGCTCTGTTCATACAGTTTGTCCCTCACTCTTTGAAGGTTCATACTCTGATGAACCCACACAAAGTGACAGTCAATTCTTAACCTACTGGCACACTACTGAAGTCTTGGAATATGAGCTACTGGTTGTTCCATAGTATTTACCATAGATCCCCAAATCTGCATCGCACTTTATATGCTCCAGAAAAGAGGATGCGCCGTGATCAAATGTCAAATCCAACTGGATTCCCTTCCTTAAGACACATGCCTCCTTCAAATACGAATACTTACATTCAGATAATGTACAGTTTATCAAGCTGGAAACCTGACCGATAAAGATTTGATGATTCCAACCTGACAATAACAAAGAAAGTTACATGATCAAACATTTAAGTACACATATTTGAAGGTAAGTGTTTGAGGGAGGGAATCCTGATGCAGTTTTCATGAGTTTATAGTTCATGTACGTGTGGCAGGGTTGTTTGTGCGGTATATCCAAAAGGGGAATCTATAAGGAAAACACTATGGGACATCTTGTAGTCAATAACAGAATCGTTCATAGGGAGCAGAACTGAGAAAGTTGGCCGCAGCTAGTGTTTACCCTGCCTGGCACTCAGCATTAAGGTGATAAAACAAGGACTGGTCGGCTCAGAGTCAGTCTTAGTGAGGTCTGAGTATTCATGTTATCTCAGTGTCCTAGCACTATAAAACCAACATTAGTCTGGGCTATTACAATCATCCACACATGTATTGCAGGCATGTTGCTATATAAGTGAAATAACCTTGAATTCAATGTAAGACCCCATTTCACATCACCTCTTATGGGGCTTTGATGAGGTAATAGTCTGTTTTCATGTCCTGTAACCATGTAAACAATGATGAACTGCAGGCTTCATGATGTCCCTCTGGTGTTGCAGTGTGGAGTACTGGTTCCGCTGCATGGACCTGGATGGGGATGGTGTTATCTCCATGTATGAGATGGAGTACTTCTATGAGGAACAGATGCAGAAGATGGAGGCAATAGGAATTGAGAAACTACCATTTGAAGACTGTTTGTGTCAGGTATGTACTAATGTGTCAGTGTTGTTGCGTGTGAACTGGAAAGCTCACTGTTGCAAGGGAGATAACAAACTTGTCACAACAATTTGACAATTTGTACATTGTTTGCTCAGCCTTGAACAGAATATTTGACATTCAGTAATCCATATTTGAAAATCACATTAGCAGTTCAGTTGATCCTGCTTCACACCTTTCTGTCTTATCAGACAACATTGCTTAGGCTAAAAACAAACTAGTCTTGGTTCTCAGGCACCACCGCTCCATCACCAAGTGCACCACACATTTCGTTGTTGTTTCCATTTTCAAATGATAACAAAAATCCTTAAATATTCCACATCTCGAACACAAGGACCTTTCCCAGGTTGATTGCCCACAACTGTTTATTTGGTTATTACTTTGAACAACGACCTAAAAAAAGGCTACCTTGCCCACACTATATCTTCAAAAGCCATTGCCTGAGAACCAATTCTTATATTTTTTTAGGCCTTACATGTGTGTTTCGCTGTTTGTTCTTTCACTATGTGTTTGGGAACACTTTGTGATCATCTAATTGTAAGTGGTGACCAAAGGGATATATTACAGGTGAGCTTACATGATATAGCTATGATTACCACCCTAGTGTATGTGGCTCTTTTACCACAGACTGCAATAAACAAGTGACACAGTGTCAAGAAGTACACCAGCACACCAGCACAAACATGTCATGTTTTACCTTACCTGACGCTACACAGTGCTTTAGCTTCCCTACCTTATGCAAACAGACAGTACTGGAAAGAAGAGACAGTCGAAACAGACTATAGCCAGTGCCCCGGCATCCAGGAGTTATTGGCCCTTTGGCCCCTACTGTCTCCCTTGCCAACAGACGTACCTTTCGCACTTGGTCGCCATTGTGACTTTTTCGTGCCTCTCGTGTTAATGTAGTTTTTGCAATATGTTTCTTTTCTTAACTATTGTTAAATCGCCATTCATGTACACCTGACGACATCCTTGATGCATTCGGCAAGTGCTGTCACCTGCTGTCTCCGGAAAGTCGCCGTCGATCACCGTGGGATCTCAGTATTGTTTTGCGTTACTTACGCCAGGCTCTCTATGAACCCCTTGCGTCTGCCTCGTTTGGAGATTAAATTTTAAAAAAATAAATGAAATTACGCATTTATATAGTGTACTTATCCAGACATACTGCCTGCTCAAGAGCGCTCAGTCGTATGCTCTTTTAAAGAGGATGGTCTTGAGTTTTAATCTAAAGGTGTTTACATCTTCAGATCCACTGACATCAATGGGCAGTGCATTCCATAGAGTTGCACCTGCTATTCGGAAGGTTCTGTCGCCATATGTTGTTCTGCTGGTTGGTGGAACAGTAAGCTGTAGTTTGTTTGCAGATCTCAGTGTTCGGCCAGGTTGGTAAAGGGCAGTGAATTCCTGGAGGTATACTGGGGATAGCCCATGGATCGATTTGTAGACAAACATGATCAGCTTGTGCAGCTCTTTCAGGACGGGTGTAATGTGTTCACGCATTGACTTCCGTGTGATGAGTCTGGCAGCAGTGTTTTGCACACGCTGTAGTCTATCCAGATGCTGCTGCTGGATACCATACAGAAGACTGTTACAATAGTCAAGTCTTGATGTTACAAATGCATGGACTAGGCACTTGACTGATGCTGTGTCTACGTATCTTGCTATCTGGAGATCTCACCATAAAGACTTGCTTGCTCCTGGCCCTTGCCATGGTGGCCTGGGTTAGTGAGCTTCATGCCCCAATGTGACCCAGGTCCGGTTCGAACAGCGACCTCACGGCCTTGTTCACCTTGGTCTTTGCTTGGACTTTGTCGCCAAAAATCAACTGACATGCCAACCTGATGGGCAGTTTCACGGCCCGCTCGTTCAGTGATCAACTCGCCCTCTTCCCGGTTCGGCTTGTCATTCCTGTTTCCAGCCATGTCTCAGCCGAGGTATCACGTAGTACAGTCTCCCTTTGGCTTTGTTCTGCTATCCTGGGGGCTTATTGTCGTGCTGACTTACCACCTCTAGTGGCCTACAATCCACATGAGATCCGTGCGCTGTCTGGCAATAGCCATAGTCTGTTTCAACTAACTCTTCGTTCCAGTACTGTCTGTTTGTATAAGATAGGGAAGCTAAAGCAATGTGTAGTGTAAGGTAAGTATGAAAAAACATTTCTTTTAATCAAACATGCTCATATATAAGTTTCCAGGCTCAAGAACACCGTTTCACATCGAATGTTGTTTTCTGTTAGATGATTGCTTGTGACCACTAACAACATCATGGACTCCGGCCACCGACCTGGAGAGTGGCGTTTATCATTACTTAGTGCATGACATGGAAGAATGGTGAAGCAGATATGATGTTGGAAGTGCATGCAGTCCTTTGACAAAGCTATGTGACTGTACAGCTCCTTTATAATGTGTGTTGCTTATCAGCAATTCTTTTAGATGAGAGACGTGTACGCTGTTTCTTGTACCCAACAGATGCTGGATCTAGTTCGACCAAAACACAAAGAGCAGATAACCCTGAGAGACCTCAAGTCTTGCAAGATGACAAACATTTTCTTTGACACATTCTTCAACCTAGACAAGTTCCTGGAACATGAGCAAAGAGATCCGTTTGCTAATGTGAGGGTAAGTTTCGCCCAGGTTGTCCCTCGTTGCCTGGACGATGTCTCACACAGTTTAATGAGGAGACGTATATAACTTGCATTGTCTCTTGGTTGGGACAGTGTTTATGTTACATTTGTGGGTGCTGGTGGATCGGAGGATGGCACTGCAGGGTGGAGGATGTACTGGTCTCATTCTCTTGCTGATACCACTGACATGTCTTGTCATTGGTTTATCTGGCCCAGACTTGATTATTTACACCAAACAAATAAATTAAATACTCTTATCATTTTTAAAACACACGGAAAGATGTCCGTGTATTGTTAGTAAAGGCAGCCTGTGTGTTGTTGGTGAAGGTGTCCTGTGTGTTGTTAGTGAAGGTGTCCTGTGTGCTGTTAGTGAAGGTGTCCTGTGTGTTGTTGGTGAAGGTGTCCTGTGTGTTGTTGGTGAAGGTGTCCTGTGTGTTGTTGGTGAAGGTGTCCTGTGTGTTCTTGGTGAAGGTGTCCTGTGTGTTGTTAGTAAAGGTGTCCTGTGTGTTGTTGGTGAAGGTGTCCTGTGTGCTGTTAGTAAAGGCAGCCTGTGTGTTGTTGGTGAAGGTGTCCTGTGTGTTGTTGGTGAAGGTGTCCTGTGTGCTGTTAGTAAAGGCAGCCTGTGTGTTGTTGGTGAAGGTGTCCTGTGTGCTGTTAGTGAAGGTGTCCTGTGTGTTGTTAGTGAAGGTGTCCTGTGTGTTGTTAGTGAAGGTGTCCTGTGTGTTGTTGGTGAAGGTGTCCTGTGTGTTGTTAGTGAAGGTGTCCTGTGTGCTCTTAGTGAAGGTGTCCTGTGTGTTGTTAGTGAAGGTGTCCTGTGTGTTGTTGGTGAAGGTGTCCTGTGTGTTGTTGGTGAAGGTGTCCTGTGTGTTGTTGGTGAAGGTGTCCTGTGTGTTGTTAGTGAAGGTGTCCTGTGTATTGAGTTTGATCTGTTGTAGGACCCTGAGACAGATGGGCCGGAACCGTCAGACTGGGAGAAGTACGCTGCTGAGGAATATGAGATTCTTGTAGCAGAGGAAGGGGCCAATGAGCAAGAAGAAATGTATGTACTAACATTTGGCATATAATAACGTATGTGATGTTCTTATGATATTTTCAATGTTTTAGAGTTTGTAATTGTAATCAATTTGATTGGAAACAGTTGGTTGAGAAGCCATGTGGTTAAAAATATCCTTGTCATGTCAAGGACCTGGGTTCATTTGCCTGAATGAGTACAATGTATACAACCCAGTTTGTGTGTCCTTGCGCCATCACTGTGATGTCAGTAATTTTACAAGTGGGGTAAATTACACTTCCTTATGATTGAATTTTGTATAGCAAGTACTAAGCTGAGATTCGTCATTTTTATCGTCACAGTTATCATACAGAATCTGGTATAGTCAGACATGAAGCGCTGTGTTGCATTGTATTCACCATGCATGCCGTTGATACGTTGATACTTATGTCACAATCACTTGTAGGGGGCAGTAGACTAATCTATGTGGCCTGTTATTTTCCACAAGTTATATCACATTTACCCCATGCAGCTGGTGTAGGGAATTTCAGCACAGGTAGGTGATCTTAGGAAACTGTCTGTTCACATACATTCGTCACATATTATGCACACCCAGTTCTGATTCTCTTCCCACTCTCACACAGCTGTACCTAGTCCAATGAACAAACTAAGCACACATTTTCTTTGACATTGACAAAAATAAAGTAGGCCCAAAGCTAAATCCTCATTTGACGAGACTGCTGTTGTGTCCACTTAACCTTTTGCCAAGAATCGTTACTCATACTTTCAACCACTGGTTTGGCTGGCCCAGACATGGTCAACAATTACAAGCCAGATCTGTGGCTGTAACATTGCTGACTGCAGCAGGAATTCACTCACTCAGTCTTTTCTATTTATCTATCCTGAACTTGTCTTTGTATATTTAGAGGTTTTTGTTTCCTTTACTACTAAAGCTTTGTAGAATTTGTCCAATACAGTAGATCTCAGTGTACACATCTCCAGCCCAACTGGTCAAAGACCATTTGTGTTTATATAATGGTGATCTGCAACTTGAAGAGATGTGGATTGATTTTTCAGTTTATAGGTTGTCTCTCATTAAAGTATCTCAAATCCCATTTTGAATATAAAGCAGGTCCAGACAAGGGGTATGTGATATTTGCATTTCTCAATGGCATCCTTCATATTTGACAGAAAGCTCCATAACAAGTTATTGTAAGACAGCATGGGCAGGCAGAAAAGTTAAGACGTTTTATGTACATGTAGTTTGTATGCAGCCTAGCACCAAGTATGGAATCATGAGGTCTCTCAGTGCATCATTCGTGTACACTTCTGGAGTCTTAGTAACACAAAGTGTCAAAACACATTACATAATAGATGCTGTCTGTGTTAGCATGGAGACATATCATGCTAGTAAGCATCATGTGTGAATATGAAGTTTCACTTGTTTTTTTAACTTTTTGAATAGAAAGTATTTACCCTTTCCTGTATTTTTTGCAGACATTATGAAGACGACTTTGAACCAGAGGATGATGACAGTCTTGGAGAGGAAATAATTCGTCTGGCTGATGTACCACAACGTAAAACCTCACCGGTCGTTAGACAAAGCCCAGCAGATGATATTTATGATTTTAGTACTAAAAACCTTGGATATTGACAGTCCAAGGGAGATGACTCTTGTTTATGGCATACATGAAGTCACAGCACAATCAAAGGGGGGCAACTCATCACTGATCCTAGTCCAGTCAATGTCACAATGTTTGTATTATGATGTGGATACTTCTGGTCTAAAATGCATTTTCAGTGATCTTTATTTGTACAGAGAATCAACAATTTCTGCTTCAGAGATCTATATTGAAGCATGTGATAATCAAGGCATACATTGTCCCTGCATGTAGAATAAGAATATATTGATTGCACCACCTTTTAAAGGTGCACACATGATACACAGACGGTCCATTGCTATTCTGGAGAGATTCCAGCTTTATCCTTGCACATTTAGCAAAAGATTGGAAAGCTTTAACAAATGTAGCATATTGTAGATGGCAAGGACAGACCATGACGGTGTCCTGAATGTTTGCGGGTATGGAAATTAGCACTAGCTCGGACCTGTTTTGTTAAAGTTAAACCAAGGGCTAGGAGAATTGCAAACATTTTAGGGGATGTTGCTTTACATTATCGTTGGTGGGTTAGTAGACATTCTTGGTTAATTTCCATCCCTGTGTCTGTATCCTAGTCTTACTGGAACACAATGTAAAGGCAGTTTACTTGAGAACACACACACCCATGAATTATGTGTAGGCACTAATGTGAAAGATATGAAAGATTTCACTGTTACCATGTTATGTTATTTTGTATGTAACGACTGAGTTAAGGCAATCCAGAAATCCGTCCCGTACAGAGGTGCTGCAAAACCTTGCTATGAAGTGGGAGGCACCAGGGCTGCCTACAGACAGTAGTCCAGGATGATAACCTGTACCTGGTACAAGCTGGTTTGACATGGAGTATGTGTAAATATGTCATATTAGCCAGTAACCAGCAACTGAAGCAATGTGATAATGTCAAGGGACATAACTCATGACAGATTACTGTAACAAGACATTCTATTTGTTGGTATTTGTGGATGTTAGGTGACAATTTATTTTTGTTAGTTCTCATTATTTTAAGCTGGAGCATTGTAGTTCTTTTGTTTGGGGTTCCTTTTTATGTGAAGTATACAGGCTTAGATGTACCACATTGTCACGGATGTGATGTAGGTACACTGCAAGCTGTGTGGACGAATTGTGTCAGCACATTGTTTGAATATCTGAAGATACAGGTTTGATTCTTGTTCTTTAATCCCATGATGCTATCCGCCTGTTGTCATACTGTCACAAATCAAAGAAGCTGTTTTTTCATCTTGCAATAGAGTTGTAAAACTATTTGAAGCTGTATTTTGTTCTCTCAAGAATGTCCATTTTATATCTTGTGTAAAATATTTCTTGAGTGGTGGCCAATGTATGGTTTACTTCCTTCCACACGAGGTATTGTTGAGTATAAGTGGGAAATTGTTCTGTGGGCATGTGGCATGTCTCTACTGTGTTCTTTGAGTTAATATTCCAGTGTAGTGTATAAAGTACACTCAGCAGGTGGAGAATCATTCCCTTGTTGGCAAGTTGTACATGCTCCACACTTCATAGATTGTGAGATGAAATACACATTACATATCTCCAACAGAATATGGTAATCAACAATGTCATTGAAGACCTAGGTCACAGCAATGCATGCCATCCCTTAGGCTGTTAGTCATGTTATAAAAATATTGTCAGTTATAGCTTATTCATGTTCTTCATTTAATGTTCTGACTAGAATCATTGTGACGTCTTCCTCACAGACAATAGTCATCAAGACACCCCAATGATATACTTTTTAATCATGATGTATGCTGCCAAGTTAAAATTTACATATGGAAGAATGATATGAGGTTACCCCCCGGTAGCCAGTGTTTGTCCACCACCATCCTGGCCCACAGGGATGATATGAGGTTAACCCCCGGTAGCCAGTGTTTGTCCACCACCGTCCTGGCCCACAAGGATGATATGAGGTTAACCCCCGGTAGCCAGTGTTTATCCACCACCGTCCTGGCCCACAGGGATGATATAAAGTTACCCCCCAATAGCCAGTGTTTGTCCACCACCGCCCTGGCCCACAGGGATGATATGAGGTTATCCCCCGGTAGCCAGTGTTTGTCCACCACCGTCCTGACCCACAGGGATGATATGAGGTTATGTCCCAGTAGCCAGTGTTTGTCCACCACCGTCCTGGCCCACAGGGATAATATGAGGTTATCCCCCTGTAGCCAGTGTTTGTCCACCACCGTCCTGGCCCACAGGGATGATATGAGGTTATGTCCCAGTTGCCAATATTAGCTGCAGTGCAGACTCCTCCATCCCCCTGTAAGTGAGGAGTATCATCATGAAGACCAGAAATCATTCATATCTCAGGGAGAGTGTGATGTGGAGCATGCCTTGTCTTGTGTCATGTGTGTGTTGTAGTTCCTGCGTCAGGCCTTTGGTACAGCTGGTAATGAAAATATATTTACCCCTGACTGTTTCTGATTTAATTGCATTGTGGAATATATTGTTACTAATATTTCAAAGCATTAATTTTTATTAGCATAATTGTTATAGACATTACAGATTTGTTGTTTCAAGTTCTCTTTTTCTAATGTGATTTTCAAAATCTGTTCAAATATTGGTGTACAGATATGGATTAGTCTGTCATTTATCTATGCAGAATCCTCTCTTCAAATTTGGATGAATGGCTTGAGTTTGCTTTGACTAAACTATTTCTCAATGTTCTTTTGTTTGCTATGAGTATTCAGCCAGCTGTAATCAGATAAGACAGTCGAAACGGTTAAAGTGGATGTTTTGGTGGTACAGTTAATGTCACAGCTGCTGACTGAGACACTTTCACATGACATTGTGGGGATCGCCTCATGTGTCTGGAGCATGTTTACTTATTACTTACTCTAAAGCTTTGACACAACCCCTCACTACGCAGTTTGTCTGTGGGTGCACCAGTTTTGCAGTGTCTAGTTCAGTGGGTCAAACATATAACACATCATCTACTTCATAACAATTATTAAATGTTTATTCTGCTGCATTCTATGCTAAATATGGAGTTTGGCAATAACGTTAGCTCAAATTATTATGAAAATGATTTTATTTGTTAAAAAAAAGTATCTTTTAAAAAGTTAGCTTGTCTGAAGTGGTTTTTTAGCTCAACTTGTTCACAGAAATCTCCAGAGCTATGGCTTTTTTCAGCAGGTAGCACATATAGACAACATGATGCACATAGAAAGTGGGAGGCAGGAGTAGAGGCTGGCAGCTTGTGGTTCACACTGAAGTGAATGGTCAATATGTTCAATAGCCAAGGAATGAATTCCCAGGTATTAACTGTTCAGTAGCCATCTGTTGTGGTTTCCATATTACACATGGCTAAGTACAACAGCAGTTCCAAGAAAGGGGAGGTGCATTGCATCCATTTAAAACCTGTTCAAGCTGACACAAATACCTGTTTCGTGCTTGTTTAACTTTAACCATTCAAGAGTATTGTTTACATGAAGTACATCAGGTATAAGTGTATATCCTTCCCTCAAGTAACACTGAAAGATCTACAAACACTCAATTTTGCTATTGATCACCAAGTTGTCATGGAACACATACAGTATGTACTAAGCAGTAAGTATACCTGTAACCATGGTAACACTAGGATCTTACATATTGCATGAATCAGTAGGATGTTATCAGCTTATAGTAAGGGTGTTCACCTTGTATATATTTTATAGGGTCAACGAGTGCTGCATTTAACAGTGTCATAATTTATTGAATGAATGTGTAATTGTCTTATTAATGTCATGTGACATGATGCCATACACATTGTATTTATTGTCGCCAACAGAATCAATTCATGTGTAGATATTCACCCATTAAATGGGATATACACAAATCACTGTTTTGTTGTCATTTCAACAACTTTTGATCAGTAGCAGTATTTTCCATAAGGGGTGCCTGTATTAAATATACGGAGTCAAATTAAAAACTTCACATTTTTAAAAGTAATCCCATATATGATATACAACGGAAAAATGTATCAGAGAAGGTAATTTTTAATCATTAATGTCTAAAGAAGGATTTTATTAACAGTGGTAACCTTAATTTGTTCCAAGCACCTACGGTATTCGGTAATAACATCAACAGTATAATTCATAAGTCCCAAGCACGAGAATCTGATGGCACACAAGTTCAGAAGCGTGTATGGCCAGCATGTGCGTTGACAACTGCCACACAACGCCTCCACATGGACCTGGTGATGCTTGTGAACACATGCTTGGGAAGACGACATATTTTTTGCAGACATTATGAAGACGACTTTGAACCAGAGGATGATGACAGTCTTGGAGAGGAAATAATTCGTCTGGCTGATGTACCACAACGTAAAACCTCACCGGTCGTTAGACAAAGCCCAGCAGATGATATTTATGATTTTAGTACTAAAAACCTTGGATATTGACAGTCCAAGGGAGATGACTCTTGTTTATGGCATACATGAAGTCACAGCACAATCAAAGGGGGGCAACTCATCACTGATCCTAGTCCAGTCAATGTCACAATGTTTGTATTATGATGTGGATACTTCTGGTCTAAAATGCATTTTCAGTGATCTTTATTTGTACAGAGAATCAACAATTTCTGCTTCAGAGATCTATATTGAAGCATGTGATAATCAAGGCATACATTGTCCCTGCATGTAGAATAAGAATATATTGATTGCACCACCTTTTAAAGGTGCACACATGATACACAGACGGTCCATTGCTATTCTGGAGAGATTCCAGCTTTATCCTTGCACATTTAGCAAAAGATTGGAAAGCTTTAACAAATGTAGCATATTGTAGATGGCAAGGACAGACCATGACGGTGTCCTGAATGTTTGCGGGTATGGAAATTAGCACTAGCTCGGACCTGTTTTGTTAAAGTTAAACCAAGGGCTAGGAGAATTGCAAACATTTTAGGGGATGTTGCTTTCATTATCGTTGGTGGGTTAGTAGACATTCTTGGTTAATTTCCATCCCTGTGTCTGTATCCTAGTCTTACTGGAACACAATGTAAAGGCAGTTTACTTGAGAACACACACACCCATGAATTATGTGTAGGCACTAATGTGAAAGATATGAAAGATTTCACTGTTACCATGTTATGTTATTTTGTATGTAACGACTGAGTTAAGGCAATCCAGAAATCCGTCCCGTACAGAGGTGCTGCAAAACCTTGCTATGAAGTGGGAGGCACCAGGGCTGCCTACAGACAGTAGTCCAGGATGATAACCTGTACCTGGTACAAGCTGGTTTGACATGGAGTATGTGTAAATATGTCATATTAGCCAGTAACCAGCAACTGAAGCAATGTGATAATGTCAAGGGACATAACTCATGACAGATTACTGTAACAAGACATTCTATTTGTTGGTATTTGTGGATGTTAGGTGACAATTTATTTTTGTTAGTTCTCATTATTTTAAGCTGGAGCATTGTAGTTCTTTTGTTTGGGGTTCCTTTTTATGTGAAGTATACAGGCTTAGATGTACCACATTGTCACGGATGTGATGTAGGTACACTGCAAGCTGTGTGGACGAATTGTGTCAGCACATTGTTTGAATATCTGAAGATACAGGTTTGATTCTTGTTCTTTAATCCCATGATGCTATCCGCCTGTTGTCATACTGTCACAAATCAAAGAAGCTGTTTTTTCATCTTGCAATAGAGTACTAATACTATTTGAAGCTGTATTTTGTTCTCTCAAAAAGGCCATTGTATATCTTGTGTAAAATATTTCTTGAGTGGTGGCCAATGTATGGTTTACTTCCTTCTGTACTACCTTTGTATTAAAGACAAAACTCGAGCTCAATACGAGCCAACTTTACTTCGGCCATGTGACGATAACTACAAAAACTTGGTCTGGCAATCTCCAATCAACAATACATATAAAACTCGAATCTGTAAACGAAACAGGATCCATTACATCCCCTTTTTTCCAAAAGCTAAAAATAAAGATAACACTACTTTAAGTGTCACACTGTTAAATGAAATGTCTGTCTCTCTGAGCACAATAAACTTTAACACAAACAAAATCATTATTGCACTTTTAGAGTCACTCAGAGAATCGCTGTGGTCTGAAGATTGGTCGACCACTGGATGAGAATGCAATGGGGTTCCTCGATGGAGCAAGGCTTTGCAATCCATTTTTGTCTGACGGAGTGTCTGGAGACTGTACAGGAACATTCTCTGGAGTAGCATTAGTTGCTCCTTGAGTGGTTCCATCAGGACTTTGGATAGTACTGCAGTCGTCAGGAAGATTTTCCTTTGTTGGAATCAGGTCATGCTTGTCCCGTTGGTACTCTGAGCCACCTTGAGTTCTTACTACCAAAGAACATGGAGTGCTTGCAGATTTCACAACTTTAGCCAGGATCCAGTCCTTCCCTTGCCTCAATCGCACACTGTCATTCACCTGTATTGGTGGTCTTGGATGAGCACTCTGATCATAGTCGACTTTCTGGGTCTCTCGTGACTGTGAGATTGCTTGTTTCACTGCATCACAGTCAACAACTTCAGGTCTGAGCGTTTCATATTGCACCGGTAAGTCACTTCTCAACCTGCGTCCCATCAGCAGTTGCGCTGGTGAGGCGAGTCCATTTATAGGCGTATTCCTATAAGCCAACATTGCCAGATATAGATCTGCATGACTGCCTAGACTTTCGTAACAGCTGTTTGAGAGTTTGGACTGTCTTTTCAGCAAGACCATTGGCCTGTGGATACAGTGGTGACAACGTTATTTGTTCAAACTTCCACTTGTCACTAAAGGTCTTAAACTCAGTGCAGGCATACTGTGGCCCATTATCAGAGACAACACGCATAGGCACGCCATGTCGTCCAAAGATGGACTTGATATGTGTGATGACTGTAGAAGCCTTTGTGTTGGTTAACAGGGCTACTTCAAAATACCTGCTGTAGTAGTCTACTACTACTAAATACTCTCTTCCATCCATATGGAATAGATCTGTAGCTACTACTTGCCACGGGAGGGTAGGTACTTCACTGGAGATCATGGGTTCCTTACAAGGACTTTTCCTGTGCTCTTGACATACTGCACACTGCTCTACTGTTCTCTCAATATCTTTGTTCATACACGGCCAAAAGAGTATCTCTCTAGCTCTTTCTTTTGACTTGGTCATGCCTTGATGACCACTATGAATGCATTGAAGCATTTCAACTCTGAGTTTCGAGGGAATGACTCCTTTACTCCCCTTGTACACAATTCCATCAACACAGGAGAGTTCCTCTCGAAATGTCCAAAAGTCCTTGACTTGAGCGGAACAGTCTACATGTGTAGCTGCCCAACCATTTCGCCCTGCACTAATCACTGCCTGCAGCTGTTCATCTTCAACTGTAGCGGATTTTATCTCAGACATCTTCCTATCTGAAATAGGTAAGCCTGTTGTCACCATATGAACATATGCGCTAACTTCCTCATCAAAAGAGTTCAAGTCTGTCAGCTTTTCTTCTATAAAGTGTCTGGACAGCATATCTGCCACAGGAATGTCTTTTCCTGGAATGTTCTTGACAACAAAATCATACCTTTGCAGTCTGATTCTCCTCCTCTGGAGACGTAGTGGTACAGCGTGGAGTGGCTTCATGAAAATGCTCTCCAATAGTTTGTGATCTGACATGACAACAAATCTTCTACCCATCAAATAATGATGAAATTTCTCACAGCCAAATACTATGGCCATCATCTCCTTTTCTATCTGTGCATAATTGCGCTGAGATGACGTCATAGACTTGGATGCAAATGCTACAGGGTGTCCTTCCTGTAACAGAACAGCCCCAACACCATTCTGGGATGCATCCACTTGCAGAACGACTTCTTTCTGGGAATCAAAATATCGCAGAACAGGACCTGGTGATCTTGTGATGAGATCCTTGATCTCTTGGAATGTTTGTTCATGGTTTGGAGTCCAATTCCACTGACTTGTCTTGCTTAATCAGATCACGCAGGATGTGAGTTCTCTCAGAAAGACAAGGGGAATACTGTGCAAGATAAGTGAACATTCCCAGATAACCTTCAAGCTCCTTGCTTGTTGGAGTTGTCATTGTGCGTACTGCTTCAACTTTATCCGGGTCTGGTTTCATGCCATCAGAGGTAAGTATTTCACCAAAGAATTTCACTTCCTGCGAACACAGTTGAGTCTTGCCTGCATTTAACTTGATACCACTTTCTTTTGCAGTCTCAAGAGTGTCCATGAGGGTCTTGTTATGTTCATCAATGGTTCTGCCACTGATGAGAATATCATCTACTATTGGGTTAGTATAGTTCAGTTTTTCGAAGATTTTGTCCATGCGCTTTTGGAACACTTCACTGGCACTTTTAATTCCAAATGGAAGACGTAAGAACCTATATCTACCACATGGAGTGTTGAACGTGGTCAACATGGAGGAGTCATGGTCAAGTTGTACTTGCCAGTATGACGATTTCGCATCTAGAACTGTGAAGTACTTGTGGTCAGCAATCTTTGAGGTCACATCTTGTATCGTGGGCATTCTGTAGTGCTCACGTTGTATCGCCTTATTTAGGTCAGCTGGGTCAAGGCACAACCTAATTTCACCACTTGCTTTAGGGACGACTACCATAGTATTTACCCACTCTGAGGGCTCTTCCACTTTCATGATCACTCCCAAGTCCTCCATTCGCTGAAGTTCCACTTGAACTTTCTCATGTAGGGCAATCGTAACTTTTCGTGGAGCATGTGCTACTGGTTTCGCTTCTGGGTCAAGCTGAATGCTGTACTTGTCTTCAAGACATCCTAAGCCTTGGAAGATATCTGGAAACAGCCTGAGTATTTTCTCAGAACTACTTGCATCAGTAATCAGGCGATCAATGTTCAACAGGACTTTTATCAGGTTTAAGTCCTCACAGGCTCGAAGTCCTAACACTGAGGGTGCATCTTCTTGCACTATATAGAATTTTAGGCGTACAGACACATTTCTGTAACTACAATCCAGCTTAGTCATACCTGCAATTTTCAACTACTTCTGTCCATAGCCGTAAAGCCTTGTGTCCGGTTTCTAAAGAGGACCTGCAAACTTGCAGACTTGTAGAAAGTCTCTCTCTGACATAGCATTGACTTGTTGACTTGTGCTCCTGTATCTATCTTCATAGCTACTATGAACTTCTTGTTCACTAGAATATCTGCATATTGTTCTGAATAGTCTTCACCACTTTCACCCTTCCTATCCTCTATTGTCCCAATAAAGAGTGCATCAGTCTCTAAACTGTGGACTTTTGGGTTGCTTTGACCTTGTTTCCATCTTCCGGACCCTCTTGAGTTCTGTGTTTTAGGTGGATTCCTCGCTACTGTTCTGGAATTACAAACTGATGCATAATGTCCAAATTTGTGACACTTCAAACACTCAGCACTTCTCGCAGGACACATGTCATTCTTTGAAAGTGATTTTCCACATCTTTCACACATATCAATACTTGTTTTCACACTAGCCTGTGCACTTGCTGATCGCTACTGTCCCCTAACTTCCTCTTCTGAATGCTACAAACTGCCTCTGACTGAATTTCTTTCATCTGTTTTTTACTCACTTCAAAACTTCTTGCTATTTCAAGGGCCTTATTTACTGTCAAATCTGCTTCTTGTAACAGTCTTTCTTGTACTTGTTTTTTACTTGTTCCACAAACTATTCTATCACGAACCTTGTCATCAGCAATTGCACCAAAGGCACAATCTTTTGCGAGGGTTTTGATTTCTGTCACATATGAATCCACTGTCTCATTTTGGCCCTGAACACGTGTATTAAAGCGAAAGCGCATGATTGTCACATTCGTTTTAGGAATACAATAGTTTTCAAATTTTGTGTACAGAGGTTGCAATTTATCCTTTTCTTCATTTGTCAATGTCCAAGTATTAAATACATCTTGACCCTCCTGACCAATGTACAACAGAAAATAGCTACACTTTTCCTTTTCATGTTTCGCAGGGAGTGGTCCACTGAACAGCAATTCTATCGTCTGTTTCATCTTTTTCCAACTTTCTGCCACAATAGCGGCATCGAAATTCATGGGCGAAATGTCAATTCGACCTGCCATGACTTCTGACACCATGTAATACCTTTGTATTAATGACAAAACTCGAGCTCAATACGAGCCAACTTTACTTCGGCCATGTGACAATAAGTACAAAAACTTGGTCGGGCAATCTCCAATCAACAATACATATAAAACTCGAATCTGTAAACGAAACAGGATCCATTACACCTTCCACACGAGGTATTGTTGAGTATAAGTGGGAAATTGTTCTGTGGGCATGTGGCATGTCTCTACTGTGTTCTTTGAGTTAATATTCCAGTGTAGTGTATAAAGTACACTCAGCAGGTGGAGAATCATTCCCTTGTTGGCAAGTCGTACATGCTCCACACTTCATAGGTTGTGAGATGAAATACACATTACATATCTCCAACAGAATATGGTAATTAACAATGTCATTGAAGACCTAGGTCACAGCCATGCATGCCATCCCTTAGGCTGTTAGTCATGTTATAAAAATATTGTCAGTTATAGCTTATTCATGTTCTTCATTTAATGTTCTGACCAGAATCATTGTGACGTCTTCCTCACAGACAATAGTCATCAAGACACCCCAATGATATACTTTTTAATCATGATGTATGCTGCCAAGTTAAAATTTACATATGGAAGAATGATATGAGGTTACCCCCCGGTAGCCAGTGTTTGTCCACCACCATCCTGGCCCACAGGGATGATATGAGGTTAACCCCCGGTAGCCAGTGTTTGTCCACCACCGTCCTGGCCCACAAGGATGATATGAGGTTACCCCCCGGTAGCCAGTGTTTGTCCACCACTGTCCTGGCCCACAGCAGCCAGTGTTTCTCCATCACCGTCCTGACCCACAGGGATGATATGAGGTTATGTCCCAGTAGCCAGTGTTTGTCCACCACCGTCCTGGCCCACAGGGATATGAGGTAACCCCCCTGTAGCCAGTGTTTGTCCACCACCGTCCTGCCCCACAGGGATGATATGAGGTTACACCCCGGTAGCAAGTGTTTGTTCATCACCGTCCTGACCCACAGGGATGATATGAGGTTATGTCCCAGTAGCCAGTGTTTGTCCACCACCGTCCTGGCCCACAGGGATATGAGGTAACCCCCCTGTAGCCAGTGTTTGTCCACCACCGTCCTGCCCCACAGGGATGATATGAGGTTACACCCCAGTAGCAAGTGTTTGTTCATCACCGTCCTGACCCACAGGGATGATATGAGGCTATGTCCCAGTAGCCAGTGTTTGTCCACCACCGTCCTGGCCCACAGGGATGATATGAGGTTACACCCCGGTAGCAAGTGTTTGTCCACCACCGTCCTGGCCCACAGCAACCAGTGTCTGTCCTGGCCCACAGGGATGATATGAGGTTATCCCCCGGTAGCCAGTGTTTGTCCACCACTGTCCTGGTCCACAGCAGCCAGTGTTTGTCCACCACCGTCCTGGCCCACAGGGATGATATGAGGTTACCCCCCGGTAGCCAGTGGTTGTCCACGACCGTCCTGACCCACAGGGATGATATGAGGTTACCCCCCGGTAACCAGTGTTTGTCCACCGACATCCTGGCCAACAGGGATGATATGAGGTTATGTCCCAGTAGCCAGTGTTTGTCCACCACCGTCCTGGCCCACAGGGATGATTTGAGGTTACCCCCCGTAGCCAGTGTTTGTCCACCACTGTCCTGGCCCACAGCAGCCAATGTTTGTCCACCACCGTCCAGGCCCACAGGGATGATATGAGGTTACCCCCCCGGTAGCCAGTGTTTGTCCATCACCGTCCTGCCCCACAGGGTTCATATGAGGTTATGTCCAAGTAGCTAGTGTTTGTCCACCACCGTCCTGGCCTACAGGGATATGAGGTTACCCCCCGGTAGCCAGTGTTTGTCCACCACCGTCCTGCCCCACAGGAATGATATGAGGTTATGTCCCAGTAGCCAGTGTTTGTCCACCACCGTCCTGGCCCACAGGGAGGATATGAGGTTACCCCCCGGTAGCAAGTGTTTATCCATCACCATCCTGGCCCACAGGGATGATATGAGGTTATCCCCCGGTAGCAAGTATTTCTCCACCACCGTCCTGGCCCACAGGGATGATATGAGGTTACCCCCCGGTAGCCAGTGTTTGTCCACCACCGTCCTGGCCCACAGCAGCCAGTGTTTGACAACCACTGTCCTGGCCCACAGGGATGATATGAGGTTACCCCCCGGTAGCCAGTGTTTGTCCACCACCGTCCTGGTCCACAGCAGCCAGTGTTTGTCCACCACCGTCCTGGCCCACAGGGATGATATGAGGTTACCCCCCGGTAGCCAGTGTTTGTCCACCACTGTCCTGGTCCACAGCAGCCAGTGTTTGTCCACCACCGTCCTGGCCCACAGGGATGATATGAGGTTACCCCCCGGTAGCCAGTGTTTGTCCACGACCGTTCTGACCCACAGGGATGATATGAGGTTACCCCCCGGTAACCAGTGTTTGTCCACCGACATCCTGGCTAACAGGGATGATATGAGGTTATACCCCGGTAGCCAGTATTTGTCCACCACCGTCCTGGCCCACAGGTATCATATGAGGTTACCCCCCAGTAGCCAGTGTTTGTTCACCACCGTCCTGGCCCACAACAGCCAGAGTTTGTCCACCACCGTCCTGGCCCACAGGGATAATATGAGGTTACCCCCCGGTAGCAAGTGTTTGTCCACCACCGTCCTCCCCCACAGGGATGATATGAGGTTATGTCCCAGTAGCCAGTGTTTGTCCACCACCGTCCTGGCCCACAGGGATTAAATGAGGTTACCCCCCGGTAGCCAGTGTTTGTCCACCACCGTCCTGGCCCACAGCAGCCAGTGTTTGACAACCACTGTCCTGGCCCACAGGGATGATATGAGGTTACCCCCCGGTAACCAGTGTTTGTCCACCGACATCCTGGCTAACAGCGATGATATGAGGTTATACCCCGGTAGCCAGTATTTGTCCACCACCGTCCTGGCCCACAGGGATGATATGAGGTTACCCCCCGGTAGCTAGTGTTTGTCCACCACCGTCCTGGCCCACAGCAACCAGTGTTTGTCCACCACCGTCCTGACCCACAGGGATGATATGAGGTTACCCCCCGGTAGCCAGTGTTTGTCCACCACCGTCCTGCCCCAGAAGGATGATATGAGGTTATGTCCCAGTAGCCAGTGTTTGTCCACCACTATCCTGGCCCACAGGGATGATTTGAGGTTACCCCCCGGTAGCTAGTGTTTGTCCACCACCGTCCTGGCCCACAGGGATGATATGAGGTTATTTCCCAGTAGCCAGTGTTTGTCCACCACCGTCCTGGCCCACAGGGATGAAATGAGGTTACTCCCCCGGTAGCCAGTGTTTGTCCAACTCCATCCGGGCCAACAGGGATGATATGAGGTTATACCCCAGTAGCCAGTATTTGTCCACCACCGTCCTGGCCCACAGGGATGATATGAGGTTACCCCCCGGTAGCCAGTGTTTGTCCACCACCGTCCTGCCCCACAGGGATGATATGAGGTTATGTCCCAGTAGCCAGTGTTTGTCCACCACCGTCCTGGCCCACAGGGATGATATGAGGTTTCCCCCCGGTAGCCAGTGTTTGTCCACCACCGTCCTGGCCCACAGGGTTGATATGAGGCTATGTCCCAGTAGCCAGTGTTTGTCCACCACCGTCCTGGCCCACAGGGATCATATGAGGTTATCCCCCGGTAGCCAGTATTTGTCCACCACCGTCCTGGCCCACAGGTATCATATGAGGTTACCCCCCAGTAGCCAGTGTTTGTTCACCACCGTCCTGGCCCACAACAGCCAGTGTTTGTCCACCACCGTCCTGGCCCACAGGGATAATATGAGGTTACCCCCCGGTAGCCAGTGTTTGTCCACCACCGTCCTGGCCCACAGGGATGATATGAGGTTATCCCCCGGTAGCCAGTGTTTGTCCACCACTGTCCTGGCCCACAGCAGACAGTGTTTGTCCACCACCGTCCTGGCCAACAGGGATGATATGAGGTTACCCCCTGGTAGCCAGTGTTTGTCCAAGACCGTCCTGACCCACAGGGATGATATGAGGTTACCCCCCGGTAGGCAGTATTTGTCCACCACCGTCCTGGCCCAGAGGGATGATATGAGGTTACCCCCCGGTAGCCAGTGTTTGTCCACCACCGTCCTGACCCACAGGGATGATATGAGGTTATGTCCCATTAGCCAGTGTTTGTCCACCACCGTCCTGGCCCAGAGGGATGATATGAGGTTACCCCCCGGTAGCCAGTGTTTGTCCACCACCGTCCTGACCCACAGGGATGATATGAGGTTATGTCCCAGTAGCCAGTGTTTGTCCACCACCGTCCTGGCCCACAGGGATGATATGAGGTTACCCCCCGGTAGCCAGTGTTTGTCCACCACCGTCCTGGCCCACAGGGATGATATGAGGTTATGTCCCAGTAGCCAGTGTTTGTCCACCACCGTCCTGGCCCACAGGGATAATATGAGGTTATCCCCCTGTAGCCAGTGTTTGTCCACCACCGTCCTGGCCCACAGGGATGATATGAGGTTATGTCCCAGTTGCTAATATTAGCTGCAGTGCAGACTCCTCCATCCCCCTGTAAGTGAGGAGTATCATCATGAAGACCAGAAATCATTCATATCTCAGGGAGAGTGTGATGTGGAGCATGCCTTGTCTTGTGTCATGTGTGTGTTGTAGTTCCTGCGTCAGGCCTTTGGTACAGCTGGTAATGAAAATATATTTACCCCTGACTGTTTCTGATCCGATTGCATTGTGGAATATATTGTTACTAATATTTCAAAGCATTAATTTTTATTAGCATAATTGTTATAGACATTACAGATTTGTTGTTTCAAGTTCTCTTTTTCTAATGTGATTTTCAAAATCCTTTCAAATATTGGTGTACAGATATGGATTAGTCTGTGAATTTTGTTTGCTATGAGTATTCAGCCAGCTGTAATCAGATAAGACAGTCGAAACGGTTAAAGTGGATGTTTTGGTGGTACAGTTAATGTCACAGCTGCTGACTGAGACACTTTCACATGACATTGTGGGGATCGCCTCATGTGTCTGGAGCATGTTTACTTATTACTTACTCTAAAGCTTTGACACAACCCCTCACTACGCAGTTAGTGGGTGCACCAGTTTTGCAGTGTCTAGTTCAGTGGGTCAAACATATAACACATCATCTACTTCATAACAATTATTAAATGTGTATTCTGCTGCATTCTATGCTAAATATGGAGTTTGGCAATAACGTTAGCTCAAATTATTATGAAAATGATTTTATTTGTTAAAAAAAAGTATCTTTTAAAAAGTTAGCTTGTCTGAAGTGGTTTTTTAGCTCAACTTGTTCACAGAAATCTCCAGAGCTATGGCTTTTTTCAGCAGGTAGCACATATAGACAACATGATGCACATAGAAAGTGGGAGGCAGGAGTAGAGGCTGGCAGCTTGTGGTTCACACTGAAGTGAATGGTCAATATGTTCAATAGCCAAGGAATGAATTCCCAGGTATTAACTGTTCAGTAGCCATCTGTTGTGGTTTCCATATTACACATGGCTAAGTACAACAGCAGTTCCAAGAAAGGGGAGGTGCATTGCATCCATTTAAAACCTGTTCAAGCTGACACAAATACCTGTTTCGTGCTTGTTTAACTTTAACCATTCAAGAGTATTGTTTACATGAAGTACATCAGGTATAAGTGTATATCCTTCCCTCAAGTAACACTGAAAGATCTACAAACACTCAATTTTGCTATTGATCACCAAGTTGTCATGGAACACATACAGTATGTACTAAGCAGTAAGTATACCTGTAACCATGGTAACACTAGGATCTTACATATTGCATGAATCAGTAGGATGTTATCAGCTTTTAGTAAGGGTGTTCACCTTGTATATATTTTATAGGGTCAACGAGTGCTGCATTTAACAGTGTCATAATTTATTGAATGAATGTGTAATTGTCTTATTAATGTCATGTGACATGATGCCATACACATTGTATTTATTGTCGCCAACAGAATCAATTCATGTGTAGATATTCACCCATTAAATGGGATATACACAAATCACTGTTTTGTTGTCATTTCAACAACTTTTGATCAGTAGCAGTATTTTCCATAAGGGGTGCCTGTATTAAATATACTGAGTCAAATTAAAAACTTCACATTTTTAAAAGTAATCCCATATATGATATACAACGGACAAATGTATCAGAGAAGGTAATTTTTAATCATTAATGTCCAAAGAAGGATTTTATTAACGGTGGTAACCTTAATTTGTTCCAAGCACCTACGGTATTCGGTAATAACATCAACAGTTTAAATCATAAGTCCCAAGCAC